CTGTGATCCCCTGTAGAGGGAGAGGCGTTCTGATTTTGGGTATTCTCAGCCTTTTTAGGCTGTTTTCTTCCCTTCGTTATAAATTTATCCATCTGTGATCTTTATAATTACCGTCTTTATAATTGGGTTTCTGAGTGGATGTCCAACTTGTTGATTCCCAGCGCTAAAATCTGAGCAACCCACTGCGCCGGCCAAAACAGCGGCGTTATGATTGATGGTGTTTTTCTGACTGCACCAAGAACCGTCACTCCAAGGCAGCGGCAAAACCGACTTGCAGGCCACAAGAGTCATGCTGGCGACTCGTGGGGCTCCTCCGCTGGGAATCTCCTGGTGCATGAGCAACAAAAATTCATCTGAAATTGTGGCGTCCTCCCATTCTCTGCACTTTCACTGGGAGCTACAATCCTGAGCTGCTAGTGATCAGCTATCTTGGATCTCTCTCTACCATGCTGTTTTGATTACTGTAGGTAGTATTTGAAGGCCAGCAGTGTGATGCCTCCGGCTTTGTTCTTTTTGCTTAGGATTGTCTTGGCTATGTGGGCTCTCTTGTGATTCCATATGAAGTTTAAAGTGTTTTTTTCCAGTTCTGAAGAAGGTCATTGGTAGCTTGATGGGGATAGCGTTGAATCTATAGATTACTTTGGGCAGTATGTCCATTTCCACAATATTAATTCTTTCTAACCATGAGCATGGAATGTTTTTCCATCTGTTTGTGTCCTCTCTTATTTTGTTGAGTAGTGGTCTGTAGTTCTTCTTGAAGAGGTCATTTACATCCTTCGTTAGTTGTATTCCTAGGCATTTTATTCTCTTTGTAGACATTGTGAATGGCAGTTCGTTCTTGATTTGGCTTTCTGTTTGTCTGTTATTGGTATATAGAAATGCTTGTGATTTCTGCACATTGATTTTGTATCCTGAGACTTTGCTGAAGTTGCTTATCAGTTTGAGGAGATTTTGGGCTGAGACGATGGGGTCTTCTAAATATACAATCATGTCATCTGCAAATAGAGACAATTTGACTTCCTCCTTTCCTAATTGAATACCCTTTATTTCTTTTTCTTACCTGATTGCTCTGGCTAGAACTTCCAATACTGCATTGAATAGGAGTGGTGAGAGAGGGCGTCCTTGTCTAGTGCCTGATTTCAAAGGGAATGCTTCCAGCTTTTGCCCGTTCAGTATGATATTGGCTGTGGGTTTGTCATATATAGCTTTTATCATTTTATGATACATTCTGTCCATACCTAGTTTATTGAGAGTTTTTAGCATGAAGGCTGTTGAATTTTGTCAAAGGCCTTCTCTGCATCTATTGAGATAATTATGTGGTTTTTGTCTTTGGTTCCATTTATGTCATGGATTACATATTTCAGACAACCAAGTAACAGTGTCTCATAGCAACATGCTAGAATCTTGAAGGTGAATGGAAAGGAATATGATGTATGGAAAATCCAAGTTAGAGTGGTGCCTGATACAGGTGAAAATCAGCTTGCAGCTCTGGAAGAGGGAGCAGCATATCAATTGTTTAAAACAAAAAGCCAGCGTTAACAGACTCAGAGAAATGAAGTTGAAAGGAACAGATGCAGCTCCAGAATAGAAGTGAAAATTCAATGTAGTTTCCATTAAAATGACTTCCCAGTGGTCTCCCCCTGCAGATGACTTCAGTATCTACTATGTCCTGTGAGCTTTGACCTATTACAGCTTTCTAGATAAGCCCAGTGGTGGGGAAGAGTCATGCTCCGAGGAATCAGGGGACACATGCTGCATTCAGAAGGGTTCTCTCATCCCCCCAAAAGAAGGGAAGATTGTGCCTAATATCTTGGCAATAAATACAGGTCCTTCCTGAAAGGTGACAGTCTAGAACCTCCTGTGATACCAGTGAGTAAAAGTGAAAATGGCCGGGCTCGGTGGCTCACGCCTGTAATCCCAGCACTTGGGGAAGCCGGGGCGGATGGATCACGAGGTCAAGAGTGCGAGACCAGCCTGACCAATATGGTGAAAACCTGTCTCTACTAAAAATGCAAAAAAATTAGCCAGGCATGGTGGCATGCACCTGTAATCCCAGCTACTCAGGAGGCTGAGGCAGGGGAATTGCTTGAATCAGGAAGATGGAGGTTGCAGTGAGCCGAGATCACTCCACTGCACTCCAGCCTGGGTGACAGAAGAAAACTCCTTCTCAAAAAAAAAAAAAAAAAAGTGAAAATGACCATTTTTGTAACAGTGAACACTTTCAAACTGGCATAACTGTACTTAAAAGTATGTATGACGGAGGTCACTGTCTCACGGAGCCCCAACTTTAGATACAATATGTGGAAAGAAAAATTCAAGAGGACAAAGATACTGGGCTGCCTGGCACAATACAAAAAATTACAAAAGGAAGCTCTGTGCAGGGAAAGGAGGCCCCCTTCAGAACCCTCAGTGTTCTCTCTGTGCAGGCAGGTCTGACCGATTCACATGAACACTCTAATCCTGGAGCTTACTGAGAAGGACATCCTAGACCAGTAACTTAAAAAAAATTTTAAAGTTAGGTTCTCATGAGATCAAATTTAAAAAAAAGAAAGAAAAGTAAATTAAAAATAAAAAAGTTTTAAAGTTATCATTTATTGACTAATCTGTGCCAAATACCTTTCATGATACCTGCATAATCCTCACAGCCATCCTATAAGGCAGATGGCATTATTCCTTTCCTATAGATGAGGAACAGGTATAGAATCCCAGATCCTAATACTAGTAAATGGCATAGTTGGGATTTAAACTAAGATATATATAGATATATATATCTTATATATAGAGATAGATATATCATATATATATAGATATATCTTATATATATAGATAGATAGATCTTTATATATATATCTTAAAATATATATATATTTTAAGATGGGGTTTCACCATGATGGCTAGGCTGGTCTTGAACTCCTGACCTCAGGAGATCCACCCACCTCGGCCTCCCAAAGTGCTAGGATTACAGGCGTGAGCCACTGCGCCCAGCAAGATCTATATTTTTACAAAGTCTGTGCTCTTTCTCTCTCCTCTCCATGTATGTATGTATGTATGTGTTTATATGTAAATAGCTATATACATACATATATATGTATATATGTGTTCTTAAGACATGTATATGCATGCTCTTAATATGTGTATATATTATGCTTTCAATATATATACCATATATGCATATATACACAAATATACATCACATATATATAGACAATCTTACTATACATAAATCCAAATAGGTACATTGGGAGAGAGGGAGGGAGGTAAACAGGTAGGTAGATATTTCTTTTTTCTACATTACCACCACACACCCCATGACTAAATCACTTAAACCTGATATCTCATCTGTAAAATGGAATATAAAAATAATTGTTCCTACCTTACACAATTGTTGAAAGATTTAATGGGAAAATGCATGTTAAGTACTTAAATAGTGCCATGCTCATGACCTGATAGCTATTGTTTTATTAACTGTATTTAATTACTTGCCCAGCAAGTTGTCTGTTGTCTTGCTTTGGTTTTAGAAAGAACTTTTTATCTGTCTTTTTTGGCTTCAGACACTTGTTCAGGGTTCTGGTCTGAGTAATGTAATTTTATTTTTAATTTAATTTAATTTATTTAATAGAGACAAGTTCTCACTATGTGACCCTGGCTGGTCTCAAACTCCTGGCCTCAAGCAATCCTCCCACCTCGGCCTCCCAAAGGGCTGGGATTACAGGTGCGAGCCACCATGCTCTGCCATAATGCATTTTTAGACTCCAAGTACCAATAATTCTGTCCTTGGTAGGAAATGTGTTTGGAGGAAGTCTTATTAAGAACTCTTCTTTATTTCATAATGGTAGGAGAGGCTTATTGTCATTTGTACATACTTTGTTCTCTCAAAACCCTTTCTTTCCATGTGGCACCAACACAGCGCAGAGTGCACAGATTACTATGATACCCTTCCAGTTAAGGAGGCTGATGGGAACCAGCCCCATTTTCAGGGAGTCACTGGCCTGAGGAACTTGGGCAACACATGCTACATGAATGCCATCTTACAGTGTCTCTGAAGCATCTCACCACTGGTGGAATACTTCCTCTCTGGAAAGTACATCACTGCTCTTCAAAAGTAAGACCATCTGCATTCCCTGCAGCCCAGCCCTAAACCCACTTACAGGTGAGGTTAGAGAAGGAACTCTGGAATCCCCAGTAAGGGCTAAACAGGTCAGTAGAGGTTGTATCTTCCCAGGTAACATGCTAGGGTAAGTAAAAGTGTGAAGGGCAACCAAGAAATGAATGCAGCTCCCTTTTTTTTTTTTTTTTGAAACAGGGTCTCATTCTGTTGCCCAGGCTGGAGTGCAGTGGCGCAATCTCAGATTCCTGCAACATCTGCTGCTCGGGTTCAAGCCACTCTCCTGCCTCAGCCTCCTGAGTAGCTGGGATTACAGGCACATGCCACCATGCCCCGCTAACTTTTTTTTTGTATTTTAGTAGAGACGAGGTTTCACCATGTTGGCCAGGCTGCTCTCGAACTCCTGATCTCAGGTGATCCCCGCCCCCATCCCGACCTCAGCATCCCAAAGTGCTGGGATTACAGGTGTTAGCCACTGAGTCTGGTCCTCCTTTTTTTTTTTTTTTTTTTTTTGAGATGAAGTCCCTCTCTGTCATGCAGGCTGGAGTGCAATGGCAATTTTGGCTCACTGCAACCTCTGACTCCTGGATTTAAGCAATTCTCTTGATCAGCCTCCTGAGTAGCTGGGATTGCAGGTGACTGCCACAACACCCGGCTAATTTTTTACATATTTTTAGTAGAGATGGGGTTTCTCCATGTTGGCCGGGCTGGTCTTGAACTCTTGACCTCAGGCGATCCTCCTGCCTCAGCCTCCCAAAGTGCTGGGATCACAGGTGTTAGCCACCTCACCTGGCCCTTTTTTTTCTTTTAAACAGAGTCTTGTTCTGTCACCCAGGCTGGAGTGAAGTAGTGGTATTGACACAGCTCACTGCAACCTCGACCTTCTGGGAGCTCAAGCAATCCTCCTGCACTGGCCTCCCCAAGTGCTGGGGTTACAGGTGTGAGACACCACACTTTTCATTTTGGTACTAACTTCCCAGGCCTGGGTGATTAGGTGCCTTCTTTTCATTAAATCGGCCAGAAGCATATCCCTTTCTTCTTCCAAGCGATTGCAGTGAGGTTGCCATGGCTTTTGCCTACCTGATGACAGACATGTGGCTTGGAGACTCAGACTGTGTCTCAACAGAAATATTCCGATCAGCTCTTGGCAACCTCTACCCAAAATTTACGAAAAAGACACAACAAGACGGTCAGGAATTCTTGATTTATGTCCTAAATGAACTTCATGAAGCTCTAAAAAAGGTGAGTAGAATTAATGACCTTAAAATAAGATAGTACTGCACCTTTATCAGCAACTTCCATTTTTCATTCTTTTACTTGTTCAGTTAATATTGTCTACTTTATGCCAAGCATTGTGCTAGATGTCCCATGGAGAACATTCAAGTTAGTGTTTGAATGTGTGCCTGTAGTTACCAAACTTACTTGTCATAGAACCACTAGGGAAGATTTTACAACACAGATTCTGAGGCACATACTCCAAGGGTAATGAATTAGAATGTCTTTTGGGAAAGCTTACTTGGCATTTCCAGTGGTCAGTCAGGTGTGGGAAACACTAATCTACTTTTCTTTGTAAAGAAAGGCTGCATGGACTAGTTTTTGTTTTGTTTTGTTTTGTTTTGTTGTTTTTTGAGATGGTGTCTCATTCCATGGCCCAGGCTGGAGTACAGTGGCATGATATCGGCTCACTGCAACCTCTGCCCCTGGGTTCAAGCAGTTCTGCCTCAGCCTGAAAGGCAGAACTGAGAGACAAAGTGAGCTGAGATAATAGGCTACTGCCACCATGCCTGGCTAATTTTTGTATTTTTAGTAGAGATGGGGTTTCACCGTGTTGGTCAGACTGGTGTTGAACTCCTGACCTCGTGATCTGCCCACCTCGGCCTCCCAAAGTGCTGGGATACAGGCATGAGCCACCGTACCCGGACTGGACTAGTTTTTAAAAGTGCAAAATATATTCCTCATGAGAAATAACATGGATTTGTAGGTCCCAAGAAAATTTAAGCTAAATAATATATAGAATAACGTTCTTAGCTTAAATTTTCTTAGGACTTACAAATCCATGAAAATATTAAGCTTGATATTAGATTAAGCAACAGAGCTATGCCCTGCAAAGTTTCATCCTCAAACCAAACATGCCTAACCCGAGTTCATCACTGAATTAGTATATACACTTCATTAAACATGAAATCATCAGTTACTCTAGAGGTTTTGCCTTTATTTACAAAACTCACTGCAGTTAGCCTTGGTCTGAGACCCACATTCTCTGAAATGTGTCCTTGACTTTACGCAATGTTCTTCTGCTAATGTTACCTCATTGCACCTCTAATGTCCAGGTAATGGTTAGCATAAAGATTGCAAACTATAGCTATTAATTGTTCTCATTTGCAGGCTTCAGTTCTGTTTTTGGTTTTGAGTAATAAAAAGATATTATGAAAAGGTATTCATGGGCCATGCGAAGTGGCTCATGCCTGTAATCCCAGCACTCTGGGGGCTGAGGCGGGTGGATCACAAGGTCAGTAGTTCATGACCAGCCTGGGCAACATAGTGAAACCCTGTCTCTACTAAAAATACAAAAAAGAAAAATATTAGCCAGGAGCGGTGGCAGGTGCCTAGACTCCCAGCTACTTGGGAGGCTGAGGCAGGAGAATACGTTGAACCCAGGAGGCGGAGGTTGCGGTGAGCCAAGATCTGTGGAGCTAATGCATCTTGAAAATATATCTTCTAGGCTGGGCGCGGTGGCTCAAGCCTGTAATCCCAGCACTTTGGGAGGCCGAGGCGGGTGGATCACGAGGTCAAGAGATCGAGACCATCCTGGTCAACATGGTGAAACCCC